ACTATTATTATTACTATTAATATTACTACTACTACTATTATTAATACTACAATTACTACTACTATTATTACTTTATTTAAGAAAAATCACAATAAATTTGATCAAAAGATTACTGGAATAATAGATATAGAGTCACAATTAGACAAATTTAATAATGGGAAAATAAATTTAATTAAAGTTAAAAAGAAAATGTATGAAAATCGTCTATTATCAAAATCATCTATTATCCAAACATTATCAAAACAAAAAGTAAGTTGTGTTTCAGATTTAGAACAAATAAGTTTATCAATAATTTTATCAATAATTAATAAAGAAGATTGGGATCAGATAAGACAACAAAAGTGTCACAAATTCATATAGACTTACTTATGATTGGAATAAAAGGTTTACATAGGAAAAACTTAGGAACTAAAACTTTAATAATATTATTTGATAATAGGTGGAGCGATCTATCTAAATCAATTATAGGATCTTTTGAAATAGATATAAATGATAATGAAGTCATAATCTATTTTGTTCCAGATTTTATAATGGAAATCAAAGAATGTGCATAACATTTAAAAATATGAATTAAGACTAAATGATATAATATGATAAATGGATCTCTAAATTTAAGAATAACAACGGGATTTATAGGTAAAATGCAAGAACACTCAAATGTTAAACTCAAATTAAATAATAAAATGTTAGAACAAATGTTAGCTAGTCAAGGAATCAAAGCTATAGAAGGAAAGAAATTTAGTTCAGAAATATATGCAGGAATTGAATGGAATCTAAATACATTTTTAGAAAAAACAATTTTATTATCAAATGAAAATACATCTTATGAACAAGATGGTAGACTTAGTATAAGATTTTCAGATTATCATACTAGACAAAATAAACATGAATCAGATGATGACTTGGAATCAATACAGTCTTAATTTGAAAATAGAAGAACATCAAAATGGTAGACTGGTATAAGATTTTTAGATTATCATACTAATAAACATGAATCAGATAATGACTTGGAATCAATACAATCTGAATTTGAAAATAAAGAGCTTAATGGAAGACATAGATTTTAGTTCGATAAATTCTTATGAACAATTACAAGATTATGTATTTAGCATGAAAAGTTTCTATTCAAAGTTACAAGAAAGATACAATTTTGATTTGGCAAATGAAAATAGATTTAATGATAATTTTAATTAGAGAATGATTGATTCTCAATATAAAATTGAAGAAATAAAAGTAAATCAACAACCCATGGATTTAGGAGTAGTAGCGGGACCATCTAATCAAGATAAAGGTAAAAGACCTAGGTTTGATCCAGTTCCCCCCTTAGGAGAGGATGGTGCTCCTGGAAGACCATATAGACAGGGAACCTCTAGAAGAGATTTTTATGAAGACAACAATTATAATTTTAAAGGAAGTATTGAACTCATAGAAAGAATTAATTTAATACCAGCTCATAGGAATGAAACCATTTTAACAATTAATTTAAATAACCCTCAAATGTGGGAATCTGTTATATCCACATGGGAATTTGATGCTATAAGAGCTTGGGCAAATAGTGATAAAAGTGGTGTAGGAGATATGTTTGCCTTTTTAGAAACTTTATTAGGAGAAACATCAGCCAATATATTTAATGAAAACAATTTTTATAATTTTACAATTAAGACAATTAGGAGATAATCCGTATAATTTTACAATGAAGACAATCCGTATAATTTTACAATTAGAACAATTAAGACAATTAGGAGATAATCCGTATGATTTTACAAAATTTATAAGAACACTTATACTGGGATTTGGCCCAAATAGGCAGAATACCAATATTCAAGATCAAGCTTATCGAAACCTAGAACAATTAAGTTTATATGATTTGCCTCAAATAAATAAATTTTGTACATTATATGTAGCATATGCCGGTAGAGCAGTTAAGTATTTTGATGATGAGATATCAAACATATTTTTAATAAAATTACCTGGAGAATTAGGAAAAAAAATTCATGAAAAATGGACAGAAACATAGAAATCTAGAAAATATTAGAGGAATAGGCATAGGATCCCGAATTGTATTCACATTTAATATTTTGCAAAATAAATGAAGAGAATATAAGATTCAAAACAAGTTAAAAGACAATCATATAAGTTTTGTAAAAATATTTGTACTTCACAAAACTTTTCAGAAAGGCAGCCATATAGAAAACGAAGAAAAGTACTTAGAAAGTCTAATAGCATAATACCTTCAAAAAATAATAATTTTAAAAAACCTAATAATAATAAAAAGTGTCATTGTTATATTTGTGATTCCTGAAACATTTAGCTAATAAATATAATAAAAGAAATTATAATAGACCAAGAATGTTATTAATAGAAGGGTTAGAAGAAGATGTAGTAAGTATTTCTTCCAACGAATCTAATGATACTATTTACAGTATAATAGATGAAGAAAGTGAAACCGAATCAATATCATCATAATATAATATGGAATGCTTGATAGGAGCTGTAGATAAATGGAATTTATATAGATGGAATATAATTAATGAAAATTTAAATATAGACAGATAATGGAAAATTGTGACCATCTTTTTGAATCAAGAAAATGTAGCATGACTAAAGAATGCATTTATTGTAATTATTTTCCAGATAAAAATCATAAATATCGTTGCCAATTATGTTTAATAGAATTACGCCATTTATGCTTAAAGAAAAAACATAATTTAGAACATAGAGACTTTGTAAAGCCTAAAGCAAAAAGACAACTTAGATATTTCTACAATACTACAAAACTTAAATCTTGAATTAGAAAAAATCCAATTAAATAATGAAAAAATATTATTTAGAATAGAGAAGTTAGAAGAACAAAGTAAAAATCAAGAGAAATTTCAAAATGAATTAATACAAACATGTGAAAAAGATAAACAGAAGCTTTTATTTTAAAAAAAGAAAATAAAAAAAAACTATTAAGAAGAAAAAGATAATATCAACATCTGAAAGTGAAAAGTCATCTATTCAAAACATAAATTCAGATCCCGATGATATTGAAAAAATTAATAAAGTAGATTTTACTATTACTAATTTTAAAGAATTTAATAATACTGAAACATTGTTATCACAAAACTATCAAAATTACTCAACATCTTTGTTAATGGTAAATATAAATATAATCTTAGAGGATGGGAGTCAAATAATGGTACCCACATTAATAGATAGTGGAAGTACAACTTCAGCAATAACAAAAAATTATTTACCAAGGAAATTTACTAAATGTCATTCCACTAATATAAACACATATTTAGTAGGCAACCATACTTTAGATTTTAATCAATGTTTAAAACATAGTCAAATTCAATTTTTCTTAATCATGAAACTTACGAGCCTTTTAATGGGTTGATCTCGAAAACCCGCATCCACCTAAAATGGTATTAAAAGGCTCGTTTTTAATAGAATTATTTTGTTTATCCATTTTTAAAGACTTATTAGTATTTTTATTCTTAATAAAGTTCCTTTCTTGATAATCATAAGTATTATAATCATGATATAGATAAATAGATAAATATCATTCATTTCTAAATGGTTCATGTAGATCATCTATTTTTTTGTAATGGTACTTCTAATTTTTCTGTTATCTGCTTAAATCTTTTATGTGGACACACATGTGTCATTTCTCTGAGTCTTTTTAATATTTTTCTTATAGTTTCATTAGATCTTCTCTTAATATTTGTAAAATATCATCTTTTCCTATTATTTCTATTAATTCTTTAATAAAATTTGATTCAATTGGATTTATATCTAATTGATTTCTTATAACTTCTTCAGGTAATCTTAAAGTCATTAATAACATTCAAAACTTAATTCACTAGCATAAAATATTTTTTCTCTTATAAAATTATTATAAAATCATAGTCATTCATCTTCTGTTGCTAACATTTTTTTGACTATGTAGTGGCTAATAATACTTTTTCAGATTTGTTTCTGCTTATATTATTAAGTTCATTTAATTCTTCAGTAAATGTTTTAAAATAAAATTTTCCTATAAATTCTTTAGCTTGTCTAGTTTCTATGTATTTAATAATTTTATGCATTTTTAATTTTTTTGTTATTTCTTTTAAATTTTCTTCCATTTATATTGTTTTTAATTAATCTAAATTATTCCTTTCCTCATAGGTTTAATACGTTCTTCCCCGTGGATATAGAATTCTTCTGAAGAAACTCATGTGAAAGATAGTCTCAAATACAAACGTAAAATCTTTTTACGACTTTATTTATTTCCTCTGATTCATAGAACAACATACACCGACAGGCTAAATCTTACATCCAAAATGACAACAAAAAAGGCATATGAAAACTTCCTCTTTCATTGCCTCTCTCATACATGATTCTCAGAATTTAATTTATTAGAATTAAATGAAAATATGATACTCAATAGGATACAATGGCGAAAAAGGATTCACGTAACCGACCCCAATTAGTGGGATAAAGGCTTGTTGTTGTTGTTTTGGATTTACTAAGATGTAAGAATTATTTGTTTTAGCAAACAATTAAAAGTTAATCCGAGAAAATAAAATGGTTACAATTAGTCATTCAATGCTGACACATTCGTCAAAGATTTTGCTATTCCAAAACTAATGATTTACATTATAAGTGTGCAAATTATTTGCTACAAAATATTTCTTGAAAATGCCACAAGAAATGTCCTCAAAAGTGTAAAATAGGATAACAGAATTTTGCAAGTACTAAAAATGTTTTACCATCAAAAAAGCATAAAATCATAAATAAATCATCTGCTCGTGCTGAAGTCACTATAAATAAACATTCAAGCACATTGAACACTACAGAGCAATCACACAAAATAAAAGCATGTTATCAACCCCATCTTAAATATTGACCATCTTTACCAGTTTTTGGAATTAAATTTTACCACCTATGTCCCAATTGAAAATAAGAGATTTAGCAGAACTTCTTTAAAAAATATATACAATTTTAAATAAGCACATGATCAAGAAACTCACCTCAATTTGGAATGGCGAGGTGGTAGGCGGGTACCTCTCAACAACTTTACCATTCTTGTCTATCAAAAACTTTTCAAAGTTCCATTTAATAAGGTCACCAAGAAATCCCCCAGCACTTGCCTTGAGAAATTGATATAATGGAGCTGTATTTGGTCCATTTACATCAACCTGTTAGTGGAAACATAACTAACAAATTAATAAAATGGTAACAAAACCCTCTTAAAAGAACACATGCATTGGGTCATGGAAACAAGTTCAATAATGAGGACAAACCTTATCAAATATGGGAAATTCTGCTTTAAACTTTGTGCAAGCAAATCGCTTTATTTCTGGATTTGAACCAGGCTCTTGACCTCCAAATTGATTGCAAGGAAAGGCCAAAATCTCAAAGCCTGTATTCAATAACGTAAAAGGTGACATGAGAAGCAAATTGGTATACGGTGAGAATTCTTGGTGAGAAAGCCTCAAAAAAGTAGAGAAGGTTGGCCGACTGAAGTCTATGGACTGTTTAAATTACACGAAAATCTCAAAAGTCAACTGATAATTCAACATCGGATTTTTTTTTTTTCTTAATCGCTCCAGCAGCTACGTGTGCTATGGCACTTCTAGTTACATTTGAGAACGCAATCACGAAATTATGGTTTCTTCAATAAATTCAAAAACATGGTAGGAAATGCCTTTTTAAAATAATAAATTAAATAATCACGTAAGATAAGAATAAAACTAGCTGAAGATTGATAATACCAGAATTAACCCAAATCACATTAGAAAAAACAAATATTATTATCGAAAGCAAATAGATGGTTACAATCAACACATTTGAAAGAAAAAATACAACACACACGACACACAACTCACATTAGGGCAGATCTCGGGTGATGACGGTGGCGGTTAGGGGGCTCAGAGAGGTGTTGGCAAGGTAGGGAAGGGGTTTATGGACTGTGGATGATGAGTGGCAGTGGTAAGAGGCAGCTGGAACAGCAGAATAGCACGGGGCGACAATCCAAACAACAACAGGTTGTTGTTCGGGGCGGTTGGACAGCAGGAAAACAACAAAGGTAAGATGTTTTGTGTTGCGCCAGCGAAGGTGGAGGGTTGGGACAATGAGGGCAGCGAGGACGAGGGAAGAGAAAGCGCTGGGGTGGATGGAATTGCATAAAACAGCAATCAGGATATTGTTGAGGGCGGTTACAGCGAGTGGCAAGGAGAGATGTGGAAAAATGAGGAAAAGGATAGGAGAAAGATAATCACTACCTCGGGAGAGAGAGACAGCCGCAACACCACCCAATAACTCACATACAACCCTCAAAAGGAAAAACAAATGTCAGTGATTGTCCAAACAAAAATCATAAATAAAACTCACGAAAACCCTAAGACAACAAACAATATATTTATAATAAGTACCAGTAGTTAGAATAGGAAGACAATAAAGTTAAGAGATCAAAAAGAAAATTGGACAGCGGTAATGTAGATACTACAGTGCCGCTATGGTAAGCTCCCGCATTAATTTCCAGGGATTGGGGGAGTTTCGACTTCATTCGTCAATGCATCTGATTCCTTGTAACATGGAGTCAAGGTTGTCACGTTGATGATAATAGAGATATTGCAATCCCTAGGAGGTCAATCACGTAGGTGTTATCATTCCACAACATATTCTGGTAGAATATGTATCCATCCTCTTTTGGCACAACCTGAGCTGGCGCTGTAGACAGACGAGTATTCTCAAAAATCAGGTATCAAGTCATCCCATTTGTAAACTGCTTCTTCCACTTCCTGTACTCGACATAATGTAGGTGATAAACAAACATGTGAGAAAAAACCAACTTTGGGGTGAAATCTATGGCAATGTGCACCACTCTCACTAGCAACCACTCAGGAGAGTCATATTAGTCTTCACTGATAGACACTCGATCTTATTGAAGAATTTTCCTCCCCATCAAGCTCCTAATACAAATTTTCAGTATGGGGTTCATCCCTCTTGTCTGGACATTTGATGATGGCTACTATGTTGAACTGAATCTAATACATAAATAACTCCATGTAATCTTCTCGACGTGGTACAAAAGTGCCTCATCTCTTACATGTGGGATCTCCCTCAGTATGGGCATCTCACGGATGAGTTCATGGATTTGAATTGTCTAAATTTTTCTTATCCGGGATTGCCCTGTGTATGATATTGACTCCCCAAACTCATAGCCCATTTGGACATCCAAGGACGATTATACCGATGCTCCTCTCAATGCCTATAAAATGCTAGCTCGAGGCACCTAAATCTCGTACTCTGTCGGAATGCACATTACATCAGAATCACTTTCTTCTAAGATAGCTATTGTTACCTCAACTAGAATCTCTGTCTTGGAGTCAACTCAAATCGATAGCGTTTCTTCCTCGTTGGAAGAAAATTTGAGAATCTTCTTTGAAGTCTGCACATTCTTCTGGATCATTGTTTATCTCTTCAAATGGAAGCTGGTCCTCCTGCTTTGTCTCCTCACCACCTTCAGTGTATTGCGTCATTACCCAAATGTTCAAGAACGCCCTGCTCCGTGAAACATATCACCCCCTGAATCTGACCCTTATGTCTATAATAAGCTAGTCAGAACTAGTGTTGGATCTCCCGCTTCATACAGATTCGCCCGTTCTCCACATGCTGGCTCTTCTCCCAGCCTCCTCTACTACTGGATTCCAAATCTCCGTGGCCGGTCTACTACATCATTAAAGTCCTCCCTATGAAAGGGATTCAGATTCTCATCTATGACTCCCCTTCGAATCTTTCGATCTTGATCGAGGGTAATCTTCCATTGAATTTCATCCTCAATGTTCGCAATTCTCCGCTGAAGTTAGCAGATCTCTCATTGTATCTCGTCCCAGGTAGGGTCGGACATATATCTCCTTAGTGACATGACTAGAGTTTAGAGTTGGGAGGTGAAAGAAGATAAAAATAATTGGTTTAAGGTTGCTGATTTTGAAAATCAGCAAGGAGAAATTAGATTTAGGGATATGTGATAGTGGAAAGAGTATTTGAAGGTATGAAAGAAATTTTTTTGGTTATGGCGGATGCTAGGAAACCTTAGGATAAAACTAGGGTTAGGCTAGTTTTGATGTCTGTAGTTAATCCAAACTACATTAGGAAAAATTAATATTATTGCCGGAAACAAATAGATAGTTACAATCAGCACATTTGAAAGGAAAAATACAACACGCACGACACACAACTCGAGTTAGGGCGGATCTAAGTTATGGTGGTGGCGGTTAGAGGGCTCAGAGAGGTGTCGACAAGGTAGGTAAGGGGTTTCCAGATTGTTGATGAGGGATGAAAGCGGCTAGGGGCAGCTGGAACAGCAGGACAGTATGGGGTCGCGGTCCAAACAACAGCAGGTTGATGTTTGGGGCGCCTAAACAATAGGAAAAAACTAAAGGGAAGGCGTTGAGTGCCGTGGCAGCGAAGATGAAGAGCTGGGACAGCGAGGACAGCGAGGAGAAGGAGGTGGGGGCGGTTGGAAGCAGTCAGGATGTTGTTGTTGGCAGCTGCAACGACGTACAGCTGCAGGGAGCTATGTAGAAAGATGCAGAATGGAATATGAGGAAGATAATCACAATCTCGGGAGAGACATACAACCGAAGAACCACCCAATTCCAGGGATACAACCCTCAAAGAGGAAAATGGATGTTCGTGATTGTTCAGACAGAAAGCTGAAATAAAACTCACTAAAACATAACCCTAAGACAACAAACAACATATTTATAATAAGTATTAGTAGTTAGAATAGAAAGGAAACAGAAAAGATAAGAGATCAAATAGGAAATTGGTCTGCAGCACTGTAGCAACTACAGTACTGCGATGGTATGCTACTGCGTTAGTTGAAAGACCGGATTTAACCTAGATGAAGTAAATAGAGAAGAGAAAGTTCACCAACATCCTCATCAATCTCTTTATCTCACCATTTGTAGTCAATTGTACAAAATAATGTTCTCCATTTTGCCTGATTAAGTCTTGCTACATGAGATGTTAAATCAAATTCCCTTTATTATTATTATTTTTTTGTATGTGTACAATGTTTAGCCATATTGCATTTTGAAGTAGGCTATTCATTGGTTTATTTAATGCATGAAAAATTCATGTAAATAAACTATATTTCTCTTGAATAATTCATTTGCCATTATATTATCAATTTTAATAATGTTAATGCATGAAAAATTCATGTGAATAAACCTATGTATGAAATAACCAAAAACACACATCTAGTTTATCCAAAAAACAATCCACATGATGTTTCCAAGGTCAATAAAATTGCAGCTAAAAAATGAGTTGTAGAACACTGGACACTTTCATGGCCTTTAGTAAGCATTTATAATTCATGGATCAATTCATATGGTGATCACTTGAAGTTGAAGGTTATTTTTCTAAGGATAAAAAACTATCTCATACTTTCATTTGGTGAGCTCAAGGCCAATACAAATATCAGACGAGCACAATGCCAATTAAAAAAAAAGGTGGTTATAAAATCAAGTAAATATATTATATCTACATGAAACTAAGTAAATTCATCATAGTTAGGTCAGTTGAGATTGGTGCCTAAGACCTCTAGGTTAGAAAACATGAGTATATTGGTTGAGCCATTGTCCTTTGATACATGAAATTAGGATGCAAATTGTTGTAAGTTAAAATAGTTACCTTAGACTAGTTTAGAAATCTAAAACTACTTAGAACTAAGAGGTCAATTGCATATGCTATTACCAACTTTAAGCACTCTAAATTCCACAGTTGTGCTATTTGCTAATTTATGTCAATCAGACATCTTTACAAGTGCACGAAGATAGTTGAAATTTAAGAATCAATTCAATTATTCATGTGTTTAGCTTCTATCAAGTCCTCTAACTTTATTAACAAGTAAATGTTTGTATTGTTCTGAAAATCATGAAAGGAACAATGAACCATGTTGGTAAGCTATCACATGCATTTCATGATCAAACTTCATCATAAAGTTCCATATTATCAGTGTTATCAAAGTGCAAAGCATAATATGATATGCAAGGCTTTATTTTTGCTTCAAAGAATAAAACGCAAAGAGAAATGACGCTTTTATTAACCAAAGCGCTAATATGCTAGATAAAACTATCAATGCATAAATACATCAATTAAAAATTATAAAATATAAAGTAAGAGTTAAAGATTGATATAAAATAGAAAAGAATGTAATATAATACTTAAAATTTGAACAATTTCTAATAGTTGCAATATTAAAAGCTTTGAATTACAAAAAAAAAAATCCCGCAAATTAACTTTAGCACTTCAAAGTGCGTTTCAGCGAAGCAAAGCGGCCGTCTACCACTTAGCTTCGCTTTGATAATGAAACACAATTTTAAAAACATTAATGGTCTGTTTGATCTGTTGAGACTAGGAATGCTCTCTCTTTATCACAATAATTTTTTTCTTCCATGTGTGCATAATTGTCATTTAAAAAGTAATGTATTATTCCCTTCATTATGGCATTATGATTTTCCATTGCAAATCAAACAATACTAGATTACTTATGGAGGCTATTACCCAATCCTCCAAGAAAAAACTCCATCATCAAACAACAATGTCTTCTTCAAACAAGATAAACTCTCTTTATTAAAATGATTATAAATCAAATAAAATTTATGAATAAAACTTTAAAGTAGATCGCTTATTAGTACTTATTCCAATCCCCCAAAAAAGAGCTCCACCAATAAAACACAGAGTGAGATACAAAAAAGATAAATGCTATACAAATCTACAGTCTGCATAATGATTGCATGCCATACCAGATATTAAATCATTCACAAACATTCTTCATTGCATTACAATGGAAGTGCGGTTTTTATATTTGATCCAGGATTGTTATCTCCACATTAAGTCATGAGATATTTTTTAGGAAACTTGTAAGAAAATATTTTGTGCACCCTCACAAAACAAATAACTTAAGAATGCATGGAGCCACTAAAAAAGATTCACAATTCCGCAACTATTCGAATAAAATACAAAAGTATCCATCATTTGATTGGCACCTATCCGGCCATATAAAGTTGACACTAACAATTGTGGACCGTGCAAGTTTTAGGAAAATAAGTTAAGAATAGGTTATGAGAGAGAATAGCTCAGCTATCAATTATAAGAATTATAAGACTTCTATTTGCTAGGGAGATATTTATATTTTGGTCTATTTTTATCATAAAACCTTTCATATCATTTTATTTTATATCTCATTTATTTGACTAATAAAGAATAGAAACTTACTTGCACTCAAAAAAAGAAAGCAACTCTAGTGAATATCTCAATCATCTCAAAACAACACATTCAAACTTTTAGATACAAATCAACAAAATTAAAAAAAAAACTCTAGAATGAAAAAAATGTAAGAAAAATATAAATAAGGTTCCACTTGAGATTAAAAATATGTACCTTGACTCTTATATTTTTCGTAAAGGTGAGAAAGTTCTGTGTAATTTGATGTTGTCAACCCACTGTCATATTGATATAAAGATATCAAGAACAGTAGGAAAAATTAGCTTCAAAGGAGAGAATAAATATACAGCACGCTAATATTCTTTCAAAGGAAGAAAATTTACCATTTTGAAGCAACATTAACAATTAATAAAATCTTTCCCTTGAATTTGCTAAGTGAAACATCATTGCCATCAATATCCTGAACCAATAGCACAGTCCATATAAAATACATTTTTTTCCTCACGGAAGCGCTAGCAAGAACAATAAAAAATGCACAGCAAACATATATTTTGTACCCTTTCAAAGAAATTTAACTTTTGCAACACTTCAGAAGAGAAAAAGAATAATGCTTCAAAAGCCATAATACTTGTGTTATTGATGTAACTCAGATTAAAGTAGGATTGAAAGAATATAGGATAAGATTTTATTATTATGGAAGAAGAAATATATGAAAGAAGCGAGGATTCACTCACTCAAAATCATGGAAACTTGCTCAAATATGATAAGTGGGGATTCACTCACCCAAAATTAACTCATAGCCCAAACACAAAGAACCTATTTGACTTATCCGCTAAAATCCTTACATATACATGGCTTTTACAGCTGATGTATTTTTGGTCAACAGAATCTTGGCAGGGAATTTTGATGGTGCGTAAATGAGGTTGGTGACAATGGGTGGATCAGAAGTAGAATAAATTATCTAACAGATACACCGTCGGTTGTCGCTTGCTCCATGCTTATTTTTCTACTTCGCTTAAGCAGCCTCGTAATAATTTTTTCATAGCGAAGGAGGACCAAACCGCTAAATGTAAGTGAAATGGAATTAAACATGTCGAGTCACATTTATATTTCAACTAACGCTTTTGAGGGATCATTTGGTTGTTTGTAAATAGAAAACATGCTTTAGAAATGTACAGTTTCTTTATAATCCCAAAATAAAATCAACATATTTGAGAGATTTTAAAAGTTCTCTTAGGGCTTAATCAACGATAATTTCTGCGTAAATCCAACCAAATTACAGAATCGATTGTATTAAACGTTTCACAAAACCCGATTTCTCACATCAATAAACCAAAGCAATCTCTGAGCTGAATTCCCTGCCCTAACGTTGCGAAAAAGATAAGAAAATTCTCACCCAAGCAAACCAAAAAGATCACGGTGACATATCGAAACAGCAATTGTGCGTGTGCGTGTTAAAGAGAGAAGACGCTCCAACCTTGACCGCGAAATTGTGAACACTCTTCTCCGTGGCGGCGGTAGCGAAAGCTACGCCGGGCGTACGCTGCCCATCCGTCCCGAAACCCACAGGAATCCTCGAGCTCCGCAAGGAGAGAACCTGAGATCTCCCACAACCAGATGAGAACTTCGCCGACAAGCCCAGATACACGGAAGCCGCCCGTATGCCCCCAATTCTCACTCCATCGACGGCGGAGGAGATGCCGCCGGTGAAGACCGGGGAGGCCGCCGCGAATACCGAAGAAGTCATCGCAAGATGTGCAGGAAAGCAGATTTTTTGGTTTGGTTTTTGTTTCGTGAGCGTTATTCGGAGCTGAAGATAAACGAAGGGCTATTTACATGCCACGCAATTCGGCCATTTACATACCACCACCCCTTCAATACGCATTTACATATCCACCACTCAAACTTTTTTTTTTACAATTATACCATTCTAATGTTTCATACAATGGAATCAGGGGATGGTTGTGGGAGGCCTATTAAATTCTTCAATATCATATAATACACTAAAAATTTTATCCATTAAAATTTAAATATTTAATAATAATTTATTATTGACTATATTTTTAATTTAATAATATTATTTATAATAATTTTTTATTTTATTTTAAGAAGATGAAAATTTTAAATTTAATTATTCGTCACTTTTAGTTTTCACTCCATCACTATTTTTGTGAGAATAAAAATGGCACTATTTAAGTTTTAAAAAATGAAATATATTTTTCATGCATAAAAAAAGTTGGCGTACAAATGAATTTTGAATACCAAATGAATTTGTGTAGTGAGATTAAACAATAAGAGAAGAACAAACACATGAGCAATTTTTCTTGGTTGTTAATTTCTTGACTAACATTGCAATGTGGTTAAAATTGTGAAAACTTAAAATTCTAATTGGTTTTCTTGCTTCCTGAATTTTTCTGAATATTATAAGAATAATCATTTAAACCTGTCGTGTTGGGAGTATCGCATGCCTTCAAATTGATTGTAAAGTGTGATCACAACTTCTCTTTTGCTCGAATGGAAGTAAGATTTCATGATGATTAATGAAAAAAAAATACAAGAAACTATTACAGAGTCTGATTCCAATCTTCATATTCCAATTTACAGCTAGTAAGAAAATTTATCACCGTCTCGACTAAAAAATACAACTTTTTATTGTATACATCATTTATATACAATTTCATATAATATTCCATCTTCATTCACAAAAAGAATATCAACCATTTCACTACAGGAATAGAATAAATGAATAAAAGAGGGGAATATGAACAATTCTATTATGTATATTTCAAGAAGGTTATGAAAGTTATTTTCCAAATCAATAAGAACACAATGACTCTTTCTACAACTCTATCTCTATTTCACCCTAGTCTAATGAAGAGCTGGCCAATAAGAAGAATTGAACCACTTAAATCCATCTAAATTCTTTTGCATGAATGGTAGCATCCCCGGGTGGATTCAACAGGAATCACCTGTTCATGGCTCCAATGTTGAGTTTATCAATTACTAGATGGAAGATGTGTTTCTCGAGTTCGTAAAATTTATTTATGCATTATTTGCAACATCCTTGGAACTAAATGCAATAGTGTAAGTGAAATATACAACAACCATTAATATAGAAGATAAGATAAATTACCTTAACATTCATTATGGTTTAGTTCATGACAATTGATTTAACTAACACATCGTCAGAGAAGAGTGCATAATGATAGAGATTTGGATTTTCCAACTGATGCATAATGGTAGAGATATGGGTTTTTCAAATGTGACATAGTGGCAATCATTAACATAAATATGCCACAATGGATGTCCTTTAGTGTCAATAATGCCTACAACATAAATACATGGTAAATCAATCATTTGTCACGATTTACAGTTACATTCTCTGCTTTCAATATTTACTTAATATTTATTAAAAAGCCCTTCGAGCTTAGTTGTGTATAATATTGATGGGCGCAAATTGATCTTTTCTACTACTAATATCTCTTATGCAATCCTTTGCACGTGACACTAGTTCATGTTTTCATATAGGTGAAATTAACATCCTCATTTCTCTTAGTTCCATAAGCATTGCTCTGAGCATATCAATCAAGCCAGCCACATGCTTACTCCTGACCTCCTCAATCCATGCATTAAGGGATTAAATTAGATTATTAGTATTGTAATTATTGAATTCAGTTATGTCCTGTGAGGCATTCCTAAAGATAAGAGCGGTACAAACCATGAGGGAGAGGTTGAGAGAGATGGAGAAGAAGAGAGTACACAGATACTTGCCCTTTGGGGCATATTAAGGTATTCCCAGGCTCTGTGATCCATTTTATATATTGAAAATGACGATTATAAGAGATATTGGGGGAGGGAATTCTTCCTGCAGAGAATGGGTTTAGAGAGAATAGCCAAAAACCACAAATACATAATATGATCCCCCCAATTTATTGGAGATAGAGCTACAAAGGTGTAGAAATACATGTTTTATCTCTGTTTTAGAGGGGTTTTATAGGATATTATTGTCTTTTTGCATGCAAGAAACATTTTACCAATAGCTCTTTGGGTCGGCTGGTTGAGCTGGTTTCAGGCAGTTTTGGTCTAGACACTGGTTGATCTTTACTCTAGGAGCCGATTGGTTTTTGAGTGGAGTGGTTGGTCGAATTTAGGATGACTAGTCCATCTTGCTTGATTTTTATTCCTTGTTTTTCATAAAATCTTTGGGGGAGCTATTGAGAGAGCTTCACATTGACACTTGTTGGATTGTTGGGGTGTTATAACTTTAATTTGTAGTTTCTTTTGGAGGGATTGGTGTGGATGCCTCTCCCTTGTTGGCCTGGATGGCTTTTTGGTCGTCTGACCTTGGGTCAGTCGATAGCCCTTTGGTCGGCTGGTGGTCTTCAACTCATGAGATTCATGAGGACTTGTAGCTTTTTGTTTGATGGGATTCTCATCTTTTATCTTTTGATTTGGAATGTTAGATTGTCTCAAGATTTAAGCAAAAAACTTTTTAGTGTACAATGATGATTTTTTATCCCATATAAGAAATCACTCATTGACCACTTGTAAGATAAATATAATAAGTATGAGTGAATTTGTGGGCATATATTACATAACTCATCCATCTTACATTCAAATTTATGTTTAGTATACGCATTGACAGCTCTCCAAATCAAAATTTTAATGCTTCGATTGTCATTACAACAAAAAAATATTTTATGTTCTTTCATAGATGGCGTTGATGCATCTATGCTCCGTATCTAGAAATACTTGTGTGACTGCATCTTCAAGTTCATTTTCCATATCTGATATAAATGTCAAGTTCTATAAGTTGGTCTCAATTGATTCTACCAAATTTTCTTTGAACCACTTCCAAAAGCTCTTTGTCTTGGATTCCGCCACTGCAAATGCTACTATAAATAAACCATTTTTAGAATCCAATAAAATTGTAGATAATAAAACAACCAAATGTTTTGACTTTAAATGACAAGCATCAATGCCAACCAAATAACTTCAACATACTAGAAAACCATAAATGAAAACCTGAAAGCTCTCATAGAATCTCTCGTAGGATGAATTATATTTACCAACAGTATATGTAATATGTGATTTAAATTTTTTTCTAATAAATTCCTCGTGCAGTGCTTGTGCCCATATGTAATTATCCTTACACGACTAGAAAAGGTTCTCCCGAGCTAGTTGTCTTGACCTCCATAATCTCATATAGGGCAAAGACAAACCAAATGTGCTCATTAAGTTGTTCTTAATTTGCTTTGGAGCGATGTCATGATTTTTCCTTAAATAATTTCTTCAATTTCCTTTGCTACCCAAGAGATTTTTGCTAGTTTATTGTCCACTCCATTCACACTTGGGCTTGAAAGTGTTGGTTCTAATTTTCGTACCTCATAGATTTTGCTATCCTCACATGATGCAGCTTGTACCCTCCAAAGGCACCCTCGATAGAAACTAGTAGCAACAACATGAGATCGATTACTATGTTTAATCTTCACGACAAAGTTCCTCGTGATGGAACTAAATTTAAGAGCTTGTTTGAAACTTTGCGAATTGAGATAACTAGTCCCAATTGATAAATCTTTTTTTTCCCTATCTTCACTTATTAAAAAATCCTCACTACAAGCCTCTTGATTAATATAAACATTATGAAAACTATTAGATCTTGAGTGGTAAATATCTAAGGTGTTACTTCTCTCTACTGCTTCTCGATTGTTTGTGTACGTAATAGTTTGTCTGTCATCTTGCATTGTGACCACCATCTCAACTTGACTGTTTTTGCTAGATTGCTCAATTATTTTCATCACTTCCATATTATCAGTGATAGTCATATATTCTTTTGATGATGTACCATATATGTGATAATATAATTCAAATTGTGGTCTCAATGCCAAAAACAAATTGTCTGAGCCTTTTTCTTCATTAAATGTAAAGTCATACTATTCTTTTGAAATATAATTGTTTTTTGTTTCCCTCAGTCATATCTTTTTCCCACTTATTTTTAACTTGACTCCAATGTTCATCATATTTAAACATGATTAACAAATATGCGCTTTCACCTACCATTGGAGTCATTCTAGCAATCAGATCAGGATGTTAGCTTGAAAATTCAAGCCAGTAGGCCCAACAAAAACATAAAGAAAATGTAGTAAAAATTGTTCTAATAAAAGCTAGCTCAACATAGAAATAAATGAACGTTGCATTTGCAGAAGCATTGCAAATAATCATTATGTATTTACATCATTCGACGTCTGAATTAAAGAGAGACTTTCAAATACATGACATCAAAATATATTTATAAAAAATCACGGTCGACTGATATGCTTCTCATATCAATTGATGTAACCAAAATAAATGACATCATAAGCTACAAAAGTTATCTGCGAAGGTAATGTGGCGTGCGAGTGAAAATTGAAGATTAGGTGTTTGATATGTAAATACATAAGAATTGAGCGGTATGTATGTAAATCTTCCCTTACTATATTGTCTTTAGAAGCACAATTACTCCTTTTTTTTTTTAATTTTTATCTTATTTTCATTCATGCAGTTATGTTGTCAAATAATCTTCTTAGCAAAGCTTTCAATGCATGATAAAAGGTGCAACGGGCTTCTTTATAGTAGGAATATTGCAATCAAGGTCTGTCACATGTGCAAATCAATTTAATATATGGATGAGTTTGACTATAAATGATATATTTTGATTGGAGTCCTGATAGAAAGTGAGTACTCCAATGTCACCAGTGCAAATCACAATAGAGTAGTAAGCGGAGCAGGGAGAAGTAATTATCGCCTTCACCTTCGGCTTTGCTTGCAGAAATCGCCAAT